GCCACATTTTCTACTGTGAGAAAATGGGAGGGGGGATTATATAGAGTGTGGGTGATATATAGTCAAAATAACATTCTTTCTCAGAAAGTCAAGGACACCTTGCCCTGCAGCTGCAATGAGGTGTCTAGGAGGCATTTCCAGTTTTGGACAGTGCCTGATTGGATCATGTGATGGACATGTGGGTTGCTGGGTAGGGATTTGAACTTTCTTTTGGGTGGGGAACACCTGGAAGTTTTCAGATTCAGGTTTTCCTGAAAGTGCCAATATGACATCTCTAATAAAATGGAACTTTGAGGAAACTCAAGCCTTGGAGTCTTCTTTCATTGAGGGTGTTACTTGGAACCCTGACATCTACTTTAGAATATCATATGAAGAGCAACCTGATTAGAGAGAACTCTAATGCTATGGAAAGTGAAAAGAGGAAAAGACAATGACCAGCAACTTAGTTATAGAAACAATGGTTACACTATTTAAAGACCCAAAATATTAGATTAGGGTCAGGTTACCATGGAGAAAAGTCTATTTAAGGCAAACTCATGGCCAATGAGTTGGATGCAAGCTGGCCATGCCCATGCCCGGTTTAGCGAAGGGGGGGGGAGTTACAATACATCACACGATGCTGTGGTGACAATCCAAGTTTGACACCCCTGATCTAAGCCATCACTAAGAACTAACACTGACTTGATCAATACCTAATCAATTTGCATATCAAAAACTCTGAAGAAAAAAAGGAAGCTAATGTGACCAAGATTGTCTTTCATTATTAAATGGATTTCACCTTCCATCCATCCCCCCGCGCACACACAAAACAGGATAATATTATATGCTACAGACCAATATAACTACATGGGTACCATTTTGATCCCTAGATGATGGGACCAGGTGAGATCATGTCTGTTCAGAGAGATGAGCTAATACATGTCCGATAGTTCATTTGAATGTATAGCCCTATTTGTAGTAACCATTTCAGTTTAAGGTGTTTCTTTTTCCACCCTCTGTGCTGCACCATTTGTCTTTACAACTTAAAATGATACTTGGATTAAGAACTGAGAAAGTGTCAGTTTTCTCAGACTGGCAAATAGTAATGTAGAAGTTTTAATAATCCATTAGAAAGAAAAAGCTGTGGTTTTTACGCAACTTTGGCGACTTTCAGACTTTGGACTTCAATTCGTAGAATTCCCCAGCCAGCCAGCCATGCTCACTAGGCTCACTTCCCACCAGCCACGCTGGCTGGGGAATTCTGGGATTTGAAGTCCAGAAGTCTTAAAGTTGTCTAAGTTGGACACCCTAGCACTAAGTGATAGTTCCAACTAATCTCTAACAGCATCGAGTAGTGCTAATGGGGGGGGGGGATTACTTAAAGTTCCAAAGGTGAAGATTAAGATCCTGATATTATGGATATTAATAAAGACCTTGAAGCTTGCAGAATTTGACATTTAAGGTGTAAGATGTAAAATAAAAGTTAGATGAAAAATAGGTGGCAAGACACACCTGTACAAGTTCAGCATACAAAGCGCCATTCACTCACCTTCATTTTAACAGCCCAATTTTATTATTGTTATCGCCATTGAGAACTGAAAGGGAGAAATCTCTGATGCCCGCACTAAGAGATCACTTAGAAGGTTCTGGATTTACCTTCAATCTATCACTGCCTTAAATTCACATATCCATAAAAGGTTGCATTTTTGTCTCAAAAATGTTAATATGAGACTTAGACACACAAAACCACGAAGTTAGACTAGCTTGCACTAGCTCGGCTTCACACTCATTCATGGAAAATGACTCCCCTCATTTGCTTCTAAAGCTCCAATCAGTCCAATCAGTCTGACAAGAGGTGCAGCAACAGCAAAGGAAACAATCCATCTGTACTGCATTTCTGCTTGGATGTCTCTTTCACTGTCTAATCTATAGGAGAGCTGTAGCAGTTGGAATGAATCATTTCAGTTTGATAGTACATAGAGAAAACACAACCTGTTTGAAACTTACCTGGGTAAGGAAATATCAAGCATAAAGTTCACACCTTTTTTTAAAAAAATCCCATGTGTATTATATTTGTTTTGTTGGTGAGGCGGGAAGTGTGCCTAACAGTATACTCATTACTCTAACAGCACTTATTGTGTCTGACGGTCAACATTCTTTCAAAATTATCTTTATTGAAGAAATAAGGCCAAAAGCTACCACCTCACTTTTAATTGGATGAGTGTTTCTTTTGCCCTTAAAATAACAAAAAGGTGCATCTGGTAACTCTAGGAAAAAAAGCTCTCAGATTAACATAATTTAAAAGTTAAGGGTCATTTCTGCAGGTGTAATTGGTCCATCCCAGTGTCCCTGTGCTGTGAAGAGACCTAAATCACTTTCCCTTTAGCCACTTCAGTTTCATAAATTCTGCTTACGCTTTGCCAATCCACATAGAACCCTAAACCAGGGATCATAACTTTTCGGACCTCAGGGATCACTAAATTCATAATTTTAAATCCCGCGGACCACAGATATGATCTGCCTAATGGCCAGGTGAGCATGGCTAGGTGGTCATGTGACTGGTGGGTGTGGCTAACTTGATGTCATTCATGTCAAGGGGTGCCTCATTGGCCTCTACTTGCTCATCGCCTGCCAGCCACTCCTCCCCTGCCCGCCTTAGGATCCCAACAGGAAGCAGTTGTTGGAATAGCAGCCATCAGGAGAAAGAGTTGGCAAAATAGCTGGCTCATTTCAAATTGGATCTTACCAAGAAGGAGGCTCAGCAGAAGCACCTCACTGAGGACTACGAGTATAGGCTTTCCAAGCAGAGGGAAGACCTGTGTGAGTGCAAGGCCAGGTACCAGTGCCTGGAGACTCAGTGGGCTGAGTTGGTCAGCCAGTTCCAGGCCATGATGCAGTCCCACTGGAGCAAAGCCCTCCGGCTCTTCACCACCAGCAGCACTTCCTTCCAGCCTTCACCCAAAGCCCCACACCAGGAGGCTGAAGCAGACCCCAAGTCGGAATTTCTGCCCCCCTCTGACCTGCATAAAAAGACATTGAAGGGGGAGACTCTTTGCAGCAACACAAGCATTCATTGCACGCCGGGCCAGGGACCATAGTTTGAGGACCCAATTTAGTGCAATATAAAAAATGCAAACAATTTTTCTGCGGACCATCAAAAATTTCTCATGGACCACCAGTGGTCAACGGACTACCAGTTGGTAACCACTGCCCTAAACTATCATGTGGTGCAATTATTGGGCCTAACGTGTGAACTCATTATGTCTTATTAACAATCAAACCGTTAAAATAGTCCTGATTTGACCTTGTGTGGAGACCCAGTCTCTTCCAAGGTTAGCTGCTTTTGGGATGAATAATGGCCCAAGACGCTCTTTGAAAACAATTCTGTGGTATTTTGTGAGTACACCCCATGTACTCATAAAGCAGCCATACTCCCCGCCCCCCGCAAACTTCTGCACAAGACTGAGTAAAGGAAGTGTTCTGCTTTAAGAACTGCATTAACCTAATTATTGAAGTTATTTCATAATACATCTTAAGTCATGATCTTGTAGAATGCCTGGTTCACATTGCCCTTTTGCTCTTGCATTTATAAATGCAACTTCTAAGCCTATTTTTGTATTGCTGTGCTGATCTCAAAGGCATTCTTCCAACTCTGTTTTGGACTGAAGGTGACCTTGCTCTACCTCAGATTCTGTATATAAACTTTGCTACTTTATCCTCATCCCAACCAATTCTAATAGTTACCATTGTGCTATATCAGTGGTGGGTTTCAAATCCCGTTCCAACCGGTACGGTTGGAACGGGGCCGGCATTGTCCTCATGGACACGCGCAATGTGCATGCGTCTTAGCACCTCCGCGATGCTCTAGCTGCTCCGCAGAGCGTCCGCAGGTGCTGTACGCGCCATGCGCCTGCACAGAAGCCTTTAAACACCGGTAAGGAGCTCGGGCGGGCAGGTGGGCCCTCCGGAGCACCGTACCGGAACAGTATCCATTGCTCCAGGCTGGGTCCAGTATGCGTGTACCGCCTGCAACCCACCACTGTGCTACATGTATATTATACACACACACACACACACACAAACCTTCAATAGCAGTGCAGAGCACTGAATGCCATTATGAAAACTTCTGAAAATACAAAATTGAAAATAATAGCAACCTAAATATGTGCTTAACAACATATGTTGTTGTTAAACTAAAACTAAACTAAAACTAAATATGTTTTGCAGTCATCAACCGAGTTGTTTTGAAAGCTAGAGTCCTTAAAGATTTTCAGTTGTATTTAGGATCTCTGAATTTGGTATGTCTGTACTAGAGGTGGTATTCATTTACCTTCCCTAGTGGTTTGCAAATGTGAGTGCAAACTGGGCGAACTGGTAGGTCCGAACTGGTAGAATACCACCTCTGGTCTGTGAAAATGTGTGTGGGGATTTTTTTTTAGCAGAATAGGCAAACCTCTGAATATTACTTTTCATGATTAAACCCATTGCTCTTAAAATGTATTCTCTATTCTCTATCACAGCAGAAGAAGAGACTTATAATAGTGTGATTAGAGGGAATATAGCAGTGTCTTAAGAGCTGTCGTGACACTGTGGTTAGAATGCAGTATTTCAGGCAACTTGGCCCACAGCCAGGATTTCAATCCTGGTCAGCTCAAGATTGACTCAGCCTTCCATCCTTCTGAGATCGGTAAAATGAGGACTCAGATTGTTGGGGGCAATATGCTGCGTCTGTAAACCACTCAGAGAGTGCTGTAAAGTACTATGGAGCTATATATCACTCTAAGTGCTATTGCTATTATATTTTCATGCTAATCTGAGCCCATGGCAAATACAAAGTAAAGGAAAGGTTTTGTCCACCTTAGTTGTCAGCACATGATTCGTTACTCACATTCAGCTGCCAAAATGCTCTGGAAATGGTCAGAGCCAGAATATGGCACTAGATAAACATATCAAAGCTAGTAATCATTAACCTTAATCCCAGCATAAAGTATGAAGAATATGTAGTAAATTACCACAATCTGTTTTAAATCACGTAATTTAATTTATTAAGGAATACATATTTCCAAGAGCATAATGCTCTCATGTAGACTGCCCAAGGAGCATACATCCCCCAAAAGATGAGATTTTAGGAATAATTCAGTAAAGATCCATTCTGGCTTCATAAAAAACAGATAACATTCATAAACAGAATAAATAATAAAATAATATTTATGAAACTTAGTTTAGGGAATTGAACCAGGCCCTCGGCAATTTTCTTTCTACAAAGAGATGGAAATGGCATTATGATTATTCATTCCATTAGGGAGAAAGTATGAAATCTCATCTGGAAGGTTAGGCAACTGACCTTTAGCATATCTCAATGCAACCTCCAATACCAAAGCCTTTGTTTTCATGCAAACACAGCATAAAGAATCCCACAAAAATAAAATAAAAAACCTGAATGCAGATGTACCTTCAAGAACAGTCTGTAGAAAATCTGGCTAAAGCCAGATGAAATTCAGGTTACTTTTTTCTAATAATCTCTCAGGTGGAAGCTGTGGCCCAAAAACTGTTCTCAGAAACCTAGACTCTCCAACATTTCTTCTTTTTGCAGAAGCTAAACCATTTCAAGAGTCATAGATATTTTAAGAAACACATCTTGGAATCACTTCTATGATGACATCTACTGTAAATGTTTCACGGTGCAGTATTCCATTAGCAAAAGAAACTCTTTACTCTTTACTCTGAATTACTCCTTCCCTGGGCATCTACATTTCCCAGATACAGCCCTCAGAATAGGTCTTAATGCCATCCTCATCCCAAAAACTTGCAAGCTGGAAGCTTATGTTTACTGGTACAAACATCATGCCTTATTGTTCCCACGAGGTCCGGTTATTTATCTTTTCAAGTAAGATACGGTTAGTTACAACAATGGGGAAAAATATTTTCCTGTGGAAGGCCTAACCTTGGAGGAAACATTGTTTGTATTATAATTTATATCACGTTCAGTTGGCCTTAAGATTGAAGGTATTGATACTTTATAATAAAATGTATATAGGATCTTAACTTAAGCATATGACAACACTTGATTTGTACACTTTATACATAGGTTTCAAAACATTTCTAGGTTCTAATGATTCAATTAATTAATAATTTGAAGATCAAATACTAGATTAACTTGTTCCAAGCTTATCGCTCTTTGGATATGAGGGATTAACATCTTTATCTTTAAATTGGAAGATTATGTACGTAATCTATTTAGATATTTAAGAAGCCTTACATTGTATTCAATGGGCATATTTTCCTATCACCAGTAATTTTCCACTGCATTATTCCACTGCATTTCAAGAGTAACTACGCTCCAGTAGTTGCACTTTATTTAAAGACATTTCTTTATCATTTAACTTTATTACAGCAGGCACAGCCTGGATGCTGTTCGAGTGACAAGGACTATTTCCTTAATTACTGTACATTGATAATAGCATTTACTCTGGCAACCCCAATGCTATTCAATCAAGTGAGATTCAATACAAAAAAAAGCTGATTTGCCAGAAGGAGGTTTAGCATAAATGCCTGCCATCATATTCTATTTTTAAAGGTAAAGTTACTTCTTGTGGAATTGTTATTAAAAAATGTAATACAATATTCTTCTGAGTTTTGTTCTAACACCCCCCCCCGCATCATCTGCCCAATATTTTCCATTATGTATCTTTCCCTATCAACCATTCTAAAATATTTGATCCCGTTCTACTTTGAAAAACAATGGGAGTGCGTGTTTCTTATCTTACTCGGATGTAGATTTTATGTTTATTGTATCAAGTTTTCCTCCCTTTAATTTTATATTGCTGCACTTAGTCATCGCTTGATTAAGTGATGACTAAGGGGAATGGTTTATAAAATTGAAATTTGCAGCAAATGTAGTACATGATGAAAATGCCGACTTCAGCGTTACACACATCTTTTGGCAGAAGGTTAAAGAGGACATTTAAATATAAAGGCAAACTATGATGGGATCAAAGCTCATAAAACAAATGAAACCCAGATAACAGTGTATTAAATTACTATAGGAAAAAAGAAATGATCTATTCAGATAACTAATTTGAGCTCCACAAGACAAATTACTAAAGGGAAGGACAAGGCTTATTTTTCTCTAGTTTCTTAACCAAAGAAGCAGAAAAACAATATGCATTATACCTTTTTCTCAAAGTGAAATGGCATCTGTGCACATGAAGCACCACAATGTAGACACGTATAGTAGCTTGAGACTTCTCTAGTTCTACCTTTGTTTGCTTACCAGAAGATAATCAGAGATTATTTCCATAACAGAAATCTGCTAAAAAAACATATCCATGTTTGGAACTCTTTTAGTAGCAGCAAATCTAAGCTAGGAGTTGCAGAGCATTCAGCATCAATTTTTAAAGGGCTTGTAAAGTGGATTTGACTTTAAACAACAGTTAAGATCTTCCAAGCTGACAAAAGTGACATTACCAATAACCAGTTGTGTATAGGGACACAAGATATTTTATGATTGGAGAAGTGACATGTATTTATGTTTACATTCCTCAAGAACAGCAAGATAAAAATGCTACAAATATTTAACTCCAACCTGGGAAAAGAGACAATGATGTAAATGTTCCTAGGGAACAATATTCTTATTCTATTGAAGGAGGTGAGCCAAGACACTTAAGCTCTGGAGAACCTTTAACATAGGAAGCTATTTATCATAACAAGCTTGGTTGAGACTGCTCCCCATACTGAACCAATTAGAGAAGCTTATTTCGTCATACTCCATAACTCGCCATGATACGTTTCCAAGACTGGCGCAGTGCAGTAATTGAATTTTGATCAAACACACATGGCCCATAACCCACTATGTGAAACTTTCAGAACAGTTCGCAGCTTCTAAATATCCCATCAACTTATTGCCAAAAGGACAGAATGTACTTGATGTGAGGGAGCGAGGGAGGGAGTGAATGAGCTGGAACCTGGTACATCTGCACAACAACACATTTTTGTATGTGGTTTCTCCTTTTCTCATTTTTAAATAGCAGTAGGAAAAGGGATGTTGAGTGCTGAGGTAATTGCTTCTTGTTTTTCCCTTTATATCCGCACACCTTTTTCAGTTTTTGTACAACTTGTATAAAGTTTTTTGCGCAGTAGTTCATGATGCATTCATCATTAAAAGTCCATTGGTTGCTTTTATTTACCAAACAATTTAAAAGATAAGTCACTGTCTTCTTTTCAATAAGGTTACAGTTGGCACAAAGGCTCTAACTCCTTTTGTGCGGTCAGCAGAGTGTAAAATAACATAGCCAACTATTTTTCCTTTGTGCACAAAGAGCTGATGACAAAAGAGTTGATGAAACTTCTCAGTCCTCTATAGACGGTGCTCTTCCATCATTTCATACACAGACATCTTCTCACACTCAAATAAAGTGAACTCCTGGAAAGAAAATGATCAGTCATAAAATGTGTGCATAGGTAAAGTATAAGAGAATACATTTAAAGCGTTTTTCTTCCTTGGCAAGTACAAAAAGCACATTCCAAAAATTTAAGATTGTACAGTTTTAGTCCTTGCAATAATAAAATTAAGCATTGTTATACAGTACTTGAACAGCAGTTATACCAGTGACGGCGAACCTTTTAGGCATAAAGTGTCCAAATTGGAAGGTGCACGTGTGAGCACCAGAATACCACAAACCTGGCAACCAGCTGGCCAGCACACATTCGTATGTCGAAAACGCGACGGCCAGCTGGCCGGCACGCATGCACACATCAGAACCCCAATGACCAACTGGCTGAGCTGGGGCGATGACGCGCATGCCCACAGACATGGCTCTTTGTGCCACCTCTGGCACGCATGCCATAGGTTTGCCATCAGTTATACCATATTATCAAGAAGGAAGGTTAGTTTGTCTTCAATTTTGTTTTATCCATTATTTTACTGTATAAGATTCTATATTCAGATAAGTTACTATGCTATGGATACCCAATGGGATTTTCGTCACCCCATACTTCAAACATATTTCCAGCACTGCTTGCAAATTCATAGTTTGATAGTTATGTTGCATAAGCATATTTGTTTTTCTTCCTTGCTTAGATCACTATCTGTAATTTAAAGCAGTGGTTCTCAAACAGTTTGGTCCCATAACCCTTTTATGTTCTTAAAAAGGCTTGATGATCTCAAAGAAGTTTGATTTGTTGACTGATATGTGTATGTGTGTGTGCGTCTTTGAGTCTATCTTGACTCTTGGAG